TGAGATTTGGTCTGGTGATGACAGGACCGTCTCTATAACTCCTCCGAACGGAGGGGGTCGGGTTGCAAACTGTAACTTGTAACCATTTGCATAACACCTTGTCCATCCATCTGACCGGCGAGCATGTTTTAGCCACTCTACGTAACGTTCGTGGAGTGAACGTGCGTTTAAGTGATGCGTCATGTTTTGTACGGCTGTCACCAGTCCGCCCCTCAACCGCCGTCATGCGTCGCGGGAATGTTCTCCGCATGACCCAGGGCGAGGCTTCCTCGAAAAGGCTCTGAACGCGCCCGTGCGCTGCATTCGGACCGCGGACCAACCTTCATGTACAGGTGGGCCGGTGTGTGCTGAGGCGAAGCGTGTGACAGCTGATGACGCCGTGGTGCTGCGCGTTTGACGTCGCTGTGCGAACGTTAAGAGGCGGAGGGCGTGACTTCATCTACGCCGTGCTGTTGGAGTGAAGGCTGCGAGCCCTGCAGGAGCACACGTTTTCTTTGGAGGGACGCGCGCCGCTCTCGCTGGAGGCGAGACTCGTCACCGGGTTCGTTCAGCTGTCTCACGCTTATGCTGCCGTGAGCTGCCGAGCGCTGAGACGCGGTGGGTGACGGCTGCCCGCGTTTGCTTCGGTGAGGCGTGTGTTGCTCTTGTGAGAGCAAGGACCTCCACCGGACCCGGCCTGCGGTCCCACATTTATACCGATGTGAGCCGGTGAGCACCGGGCAGCTGTGTGTGTGCGCCATCATCAACGCAGCGCCGTTGGATGGAGGCTGTTGCATCGCACGAGTGCGCGTTTGACACCGCTTGGGTGAGGATCGTGCAGCTCGGGTTGACAACGAGTTATTTTCGCTTACCATTGTGTCGTGTGAGCGACTCGTCATGTCTTGGAGCAACGGTGAATTTAAAAAACCTTTAAGGACACCGGCTCGTTATGTGTGGAGGATGTGTGCGCAGCCACTGTGAGTTCATCCGAGCTTACAGACTGGCTAAAAACAGACACTTTGATCATTGAATGATGATTTATTTCAACTTTCGTGTCACTTTTACACACACCCTCCGCAGACCGTCATTTTTTTAAAAACTTCTCTCCCTTGAGCTCTGCGATTTGTTTGCCCAGAGCGCTGTCTTGCAGGCGATCTCTGGGGAAATGCTGAACTGCAGGTTGCCGGAATGAGGAGGGGTGGTCTCTGACGGGCGGGGCTGGTGGTGGAGCTGAGCGAGGGATGCCGCCGTGGCCGTGGAACGTCGTTGTTTCTGCCTCTGCTCGCGACGGTCCCTCCAGCGGGCCGGGGGGTGGGATGAGCCGCGCGGCTTGATGAGGTGGCGCACAGCCTCTGACACCTCCTCCGACTGCTTCGAATTCGCCAGCATGGTTTTGAAGCTGCTCCCGAAGAGCGCGTCTGCCGTGATGGGGCCCTCCATCAGGTCTTTGTGCAGTTTCTCCGGCAGCGAGGGGGAGTAACGAAGCCAGGTGGATCGTTGGATCATCGTCATCCACGCTGCAATCCTCGACAGGCAAACCGTAGAAGAGGCACACATGTTGAGGATGACGTCTGCTGCTTTACAGAGGGAGCTCTTTGTCTCCTAAGGCAGGTCTGCGGTCTCCAGCCCCTTGGACATGCTATATGCTAGCAGCGCCAGGTTGTTGCTAGCTGCGGCTGCCTGAAAAGCACATTGATGGGCTCGATTGGAAAGCGTGGTCACCGTCTGGTCGTGTTTCTCAGGAGGGACGGGACGCTGCTCCAACCTGGACAGCTTCGCTCCGAAAGCTTCCGCGAGGCTTGGCTCAAGGGGGGTTACCGAGGGATAGCCCCGCTCGGTGAACCCCTCCACTCTGGTGATGGGTGCGGACTGGAGACCGACTCCCCCAATATACCAGGAAAGAACCGTCTGTGGCCTCGCCCGTAGGACGTCCTGTTGGAACACGAGGCCATATGGATCAAGACGGTGAGCTGGAGTGGAACCCAGTAAACAACCTTCCCGCCGGATCATCTGAACTGGCGGGAAAGGCGTGGGACGTAAAAAAAAAGGGTCCCTTCATGTCAGCCGCCTCCTGGGTTACGCCGGGCAACCCCTGAGGGCGTCGTCGGCCGGGAGCGGTGTGATCG